ACTCTTTTGCGTTCCGCTATTTTGTGAGCTCAAGGGCCAAATTATATAGTTATTTTGCACCAGCCTAGTAGGCTGGTTAAAAACTGCTTGGCGGGCCATTTTTTGGCTCACGGGCTGTAATCTTCCCACAGCTGATGTAACTACATGGGGTATGCTCTAGAAAATAGAGTAATTTCTCAAAGACATAATATGTGTTCTACAGAACAAAGTAATTTTTCAAATACATTTATATGTTCTAAAGACATCAGTAATTTTGCAAAACAAGACAGATAACTTATGTTTTGCAGAATGAAACAATTTTCCAAATACATACGATTTGCTCTAAACAATGAAGCTATATTCCTCACAGACATAAATAACAAATGTTCTAAAGAACAAACAAATTTTCAAATATGTTTTAGAGAACACAGTAACTTCCTAAAGACACAAAATATGTTATACAGACTAAAGTCAAAGGTAAAGGTAAAGTCGGGAGATGTGAACCAGCATCATTGCACACGGTTATAAACCATAAGTGATGTGCCACCAGTACGCACAGCTGATAAGAAACTGCCCGCCTGTGTCGCTGTCCGCACGTAACTCTGTAGCTACAGCGACATTCCTTGATTTAACCCCAGAGCGTCACTCTGGTACCCATTTCCTAAAGGCTGGGTGTACCCCGGAAACTGACCGGTTTTGAACACCGATCGTGGCTGCAGTGTGTTGCAGCTGGATTTGATAGCAGGCTTCCTATCGACTGAGCTAACATGGCTCCCATGTATAACATTTATTCAACAGATTATAGTAAATTCCTAATGGTACAATATATTTTTTGTAGAATATAGCATTTTCTTTAAATAAAACAATATATTAAATTATTAAAGAAGGCAGAATTGATACCACAAACAACAAAAAAACAGTTATCAAACAGTCTTATCAAGGCCATAGTTGCATAACACTTTAAATACATCATTATTTCTTCATCTCTGTCATTAATTACTTATATCCTTGTCAGAAGCATTGAGTAGTGAAGGCAGTTTTTGCTCAGGGAACAAAACCCACTAGAGTTTCTTCTATCAAAATATTTTCTTTGAAGAGACTACTTCCTTTAATAATGTGATTTCCTGCATCAATGTATGTTCTATAAGGTTATCTCAATTTATTATGAGAGATTCTGCAGGAAAGTATATTCTATGAAAAGATTATCTTAAATCTGAGTTCATCATCGAGGTATGTTCTATAAGAGGCTATCTCACTTTAGTATGAGAGATCCTGCACGAACTTATGTTCTCTGAAAAGATTATATTACTTGAATGTGAGAGTTTCTGTATGAATGTATGTTCTATGAGGATAATCGCAACCTGATCATGAGAGATCCTGTAATACTGTATGTTCTATGAAGAGACTGCTATTTCACATGATCCTGGGAGCTCACTAACTGCACCCTTACGTGTAGGAGAGAGCTCTGACTTGATCACCTGAAGTCTTCAAACTGATTCTAAGATGGTAAACTATTGCCTGAATAAGCACAAACTGAGGTTCTGTGTCCCTGAAAGCTCACCAACCCACCAAGCAACACAACCTACCATCCCTATCAGGCACAGGTTTGACATGAAAGAAATCACCCAATCTTTCAACCACCCATTCTTCACCAAAATGTTTTACAGTGAAAAAGTGCTATCTTTCGCTTCTTTCTACCCTAGGTTGCAGAGAATGTGTTTCTTATCAACAACTTCATTTTTAACATAAAATCAACAAAAGCCTAAATAGTCAACAAATGGTGTGTTATCTATACATTACTGCTAGTACATAAAGGTGTCAAGAATGTGTAAGATACAACTTTACTGTCCTATCAGATTAAATTACTTCATTTACTGAAAAATATTTCTTTTATTCACAATACTGTTATTATTACTTACTTTAATTTTACTAAGCAGATTTCATGTCATTATTCTACTAACCACTTTGCTTGAATATCAAATAAAATGTCCCACAAATTGAGAAATACTGCCAGTGGTCTAATGATCAGTACACACACCCCAGAGCAGGGTTGTTTAACTGGCAGCCCACAGGCCTAGCAAGTGGGCCCCTATATCATGGCTAATCCTACTGTATTAAATATATTTCTATGCTGGGGCTCAAGTTCCCAGCCTGTGATGATCTCCTTTTTCAAAAGGTTGCCCCCTGTGTAAACTTAGTTGAACAGCTCTGTCCTAGAGCGTAAAGCATGTTGCAGTAGTAATATTCATGAAAAATAACCTGTTCAACCCTCAGAATTGTAATTGGTATATGTGTCCACTGGGTTCTCAGAGTATATATATTTGTTATTTTATATATTATGTATTTATTTATTTAAGACAAATACATGTATTTGTTATTTTATACATTATGTATTTATTTATTTATTCAAGACAAATATATAATTTGTATAATTATTTAAAATATTGCTTTGTTTATACATTCTGAGGTTGTGATTAGGACAGAAACTGTATTATGAATATTTCAATACTCTTAATTCCCTGTGAGAGTTCTAGGACCCCAGTGTGGGGGGGGGGGGGGGGGGGGGGGGGGAGACAAGAATAGACCCAATGCCTCCACAACAAGCATGTTGTAAAAGATGACCAATTGGCAGCTTCCTTAGAAGTCGGAGTGCATCTGTCTGAGCGGCAAGGAACAACCAAATGTACACAAGTAAGCCAGTAAAACGGATGTACACTCAATATGCAGGCCCTGGCACAAAGCCAAAGTCCAAATAGATGAACAACAAGGATTTTCCATTGCAGCTTACAGCCGGTAAACAAAGAAGAAGAAGAAGATACAGTAAACAACATTGTAAAGCATGTGCAATTTACCACCTGTTATTCCCCGTGTGGGTTCCGGGGCCCTATTTTAGGGAACACAAGAATAGACCCACTGCCTACCTAAAAGCATGTCGTAAGAGTCGACCAACTGGGAGCTTTCTTCAAAGTCAGAGTGCATCTGCCTGAGAGGCAAGGAACCAGCAGTCTGCATACAAATGAGTCAGATCTGTAAAACGGATGCACACGCAACACTCAGGTTCTGGAACAGGACTGCAGTCTAAAAGTGGATGTACAACCAGAACTTTCAGCCAGAGTTTACAGCTGGGGAACCATTAAAAAAAAAAAAAAAAACCTGTTATTATCTAGGAATACAATGACACAGCTTCAGATGCTGAAAAATTGTTTTGTGCTTTTCTGTCTTTCCAAGTCAAGTCTTAAACTTGTAAATTTAAACCAACGGCAGCTGAACGGTCAGCTGTCAGCCAATCTGGTAGTTCTGATGAGTCTGACACAGAGAATGTTCCACACAACAATAAACTAACCCAGAAACTTATCATAAATTTGAATTTGTTGAGAAACTGAACACACTGTAATGTATTATTTTCAAATATGGATATTCCCTGCTCTTGTGACTGCAAATCCATGATCAGTTCTCGTTATGCCTAGTGGCACATAAGGCTTCAGAGAGGACTTTGCAAATTCATGATAAGTGAAGAAATATTTCATAAAATGTTGTCTTTGTAAATATAACACCAGCTGCATTATTGTTCTACTAGCTATAGCAGCATTAAACATTCACATATCAACACCAGCTGCATTATTGTTCTTCTAGCTATAGCAGCATTAAACATCCACATATCAACACCAGCTGCATTATTGTTCTACCAGCTATAGCAGCATTAAACATCCACATATCAACACCAGCTGCATTATTGTTCTACTAGCTATAGAAGCATTAAACATCCACATATCAACACCAGCTGCATTATTGTTCTACCAGCTATAGCAGCATTAAACATCCACATATCAACACCAGCTGCATTATTGTTCTACCAGCTATAGCAGTATTAAACATCAACATATCAACACCAGCTGCATTATTGTTCTACTAGCTATAGAAGCATTAAACATCCACATATCAACACCAGCTGCATTATTGTTCTACCAGCTATAGCAGCATTAAACATCCACATATCAACACCAGCTGCATTATTGTTCTACCAGCTTTAGCAGCATTAAACATCCACATATCAACACCAGCTGCATTATTGTTCTACTAGCTATAGAAGCATTAAACATCCACATATCAATCAAACTCAAAATTTATATTGATTCCCTTCAAAGAAAATATATACTTGTGCATGAATTAGGAATATATTATATTCTCTACGGCCTTTACTTTACACCACTCATTCTGCCATTTTTGTAAAGGGAAGTTAATGCGAGCCATCTCAAAATGCATGGGCCTGAATGTATTAACATATCTTCAAGCTTTTTTCCCTCTATCCCAATTCTCTTCCTGATTTGCCCTGCCATATAACATGATCCTCGGAATCCTGTTCTCATGAATCCTATCATTACCTGTATCATTCATGTCATGATTGCACATCTTTACATCATAAAAGAGACTGACCTCAACCTCTTTTGTCTGTAATTCACCATAGAAGATGTCCCTAGAGATGATGCTGAGAAATACTGTCCCCTAAATTCATTGTCCATTTACAGTTATACCCTACAGTGTAGAGGGTAGGCTGTCCCAAGGGATGATGCTGAGAAATACTGTCCACTAAATTCATCGCCCATTTACAGTTATACTCTACAGTGTAGAGGGCATTATTATATACAAGCCAAATTTCATGCTGGTATTTTGTTCAGATGTACAGGCACTTAAAAGGGAAACAAATGGACCGAGGAGACGAGGAAGCTCAAAAAAAACCTGAAGCAAATGATGAGAGAGAGCACAAATGATGGAGAAGACTGCATCCATGATAATGAAACAAGTGCACAAGATAGAAGTACACAGTGGAAGAAGAGAGGGTGAATCTCCAGTGTTGTGTAAGGAAGAACACAGTGGAAGAAGAGAGGGTGAATCTCCAGTGTTGTGTAAGGGCAAAACAGGATGATTATAACGATGTTTTTTATAAAGAACCTTACTTAGATCTAAAGCAAAATATCTTAAAATATTGAGAAACATTGTATTGATGAACGATCCAGTCCAGATTACTTGTGCTGACTGAGAAAATGGGCTGTAAAGTCATATTTATCAGTCAGTAGTTTCCCGCAGAGGTTGCAGCACCGGACGTCCATCTTGTCATGCATGCTCCGATGCAGATAATACATGGCCGGGTCATGGAATACAATACAACAAAAGTCACATGACTTCACATCATCCCTGGTCATGAGATGTTTTAAGATGTCCTCGGCCGTGAAATCAACTAAGGATACGCGGTTGTTAGTGCGGACTAGACCCGACATGGTTAAACCAGAATTAACCATGGAGGAAGTGGAATGTAAGCTGTTGTTGCCTGCGACATTGTTGATAAAATTGCTGATCTGATGGTTTTTTGATGAGCCGATCATCAAACTATGGTTCAGCACCTGTTTCTGGAAATCATTTAGTTCAGTGAGGCTTGAAGTAAATTTATCTAACTCTTCAGATGATAAGTCTAAAAGGTTTGTGTTTGCATAATCAGAGTGACCTGTTTCATGACCACTTTTATCATTTCCTAAATCAGTTTCTTTATCAACGTTGTTGCTACTTTCAACATCTTTCCCCCCTAACCTTCTAACAAACTCTGGCTTTCTCCTCTTCCTCACTCCATCATTCTCTCCAGAATGACTGATGCCATTAGTTTCCGGTATCACAGAGTTCATGAGCTCATCCTGAACAGCGTCTTGAGGTTCTGCTTTGATCTCCGATAACAATCCTCCTTTCATCTTCAACTCCATCAACTGCGCAGCTGCATCCAGTGACTCCTGATTGACCATTTCCACTTTATAAGGTCCGCTGTTCCCGAATCCAACCATAGACAAATTGCTCACATTAGTTCCCTTAAAGTCCCCCAGAAAGTTTCTACCTTCTTTCACCATATGCTGAAGAATGTGAGCCTCCAGTCGAGGCCTCCTACAAAACCCCATGCCACAAAAGTTACAGAAGAAAGGCTTTTCTCCAGTATGAACACGTTTGTGAACTGCCAGATGTGATGACTGAGCAAACCTTTTATTGCATATATGGCAGGAGTATGGTTTCTCACCCGTATGTATACGCTTATGAATAATCAAGTGGGCTTTCTGGATAAATCTTTTGTTACACACATGGCAAACATATGGCCGATCTCTTTCGGAGTAAAGTTCATTACCTCCTCCTAGAGTGCTCGTGTTCTCCAACGACAAGCCAGAGTTGTCAGCATCTTGAGATAAATACTCTATGGAGTTGGGATCTAGTTCTATCGTGTCATCTTGGCTGTCTGACATAGTCAACCCATTTTCAGACATCTCAAACTGACCAGAAGAAGTTTATAGGTCTCCAGGTGAGGTCTTGAATGTGTTGTCTCTCTGGCCTCACTCACTGCCTGAAACAAGTTACCACATGTTAAAATTAGCACCAACCGACAGCTGTTTACATAAATAAACAAATATTTACTGCAAATATTTACCATTATAAATGAAGCATTTAAGAAAAAAACATTGCAAATGATTATCAAAGTGATGAAACAGCATCTTTGCAATTTACCTGTTAATCAGTTAGTCAACAGATTATCCTCATTGTATATCAAACCATTTAATCCATAAGTGCTCTGATCTCCTCCTCAGCAAATCCTGTAGCATGGAGCAACTTAGGATGCCAGTTCTGTGTTGGTTTCTTATTCTTCTTTAGCTTTTGCATAGTGTTCTTGTCAGGCCACACCCTTGCTCTAGCAGTCTGGTCATGGCTGTACATTCACGGTCACTTGGTTCTGACAAATGTTTTACTTCTTGTACAGTATTCTGCATATTAGCCTGGTTCATGGCTCGTCCGCCAATAGCCTCAGCTGCAAGCATATCAGCTTGCTCAGTATCCTTGCAACCTGTGCTACCTGGCACTAACAAGAAACATATTTTTCAGCCTTGACCACCTCAGAGACATCAACCACTGCCTTTAGACTCAGCCCATCTTTATCTGCCTGAGCAGACTCACTGAGTCACAATTCCTTTGTGTCTTTATTAAGTTCGCCAACTATATTTCTATAAAGATCTGTTGTATGGCAGTGATTCTAAGAATGTAAATAAACTGACAAACCTGAATAAATCGGCAACTGGATGATTAGTTTGAAAAAAAAATTATCTGGAAGCTGAGGATATGTAGTATTATAAAGATGAATGATGAAAATACCCTGGATGGATAAAAAGAGTAATAAAGATGTCTTGAAAGAAAGTAACTCACAAAAAGAACTGACTGCCCACATCAGGAGATAATTTACATTCTTTTTGGTCACGTGATGAGAGGGAAACAACTGAATTACATAGTGACGATAGGAAAGTGAGAGGGAAAAGAAACAGAGGGAGACCGAGAAAGAAAATTCTGGACAGTTATAGTAGTCATACATCATGGTACGGAAGATCATCTGTGTCAGAACTGATTGAAAGTACACAGAGAGACGGGTTGCAAATAGACATGACTACTGACTTCACAGGGCTGGAAATGAAAGAAGATCTGTTTCCTCTTTTTCTTTTGACAACAATATTCTCAAGATCTTGTCCAAAATCGTATTCCCACAATCTGTAAAAACATAGGTTTATTTAGAATCTGGGGTACCAGGGGTGGGTGGCGCCATCAAACAATCCCAGGTTGAAAGAACAGGTGAGAGGAAACAACCAGATAAATCATGTGGCGGGATGGACAGACAGAAGAGAAGCGGGTGAGTTCGGGGTCGATAACAATAACATAACAAACAAACGTCGATACAGATAACAACTGATAATCACACGTCTTGCACAGATGAACGAACATCATGCGTGTGTGTTGGAGAACAACTAGAAAAAATGTGAAAATATTAAGAAAGTAACAAATAGAAGAGGCCGGACTTTGTGGCGTTGTTGTTATTTCCTCAAATGTGTGGTTCGCCATGGCTTTGACTTTGGCCCGCCGTCTGCTCGCTGGTTCTCGCCGATATCGTCGGTCGACGACCGGCTCTACCGACACCGTTTTCCTTCGCTTCAAACGCATTAAAGCTGGACAGAAGCAAGAAAAGTGGAAATAAGGAAAGAAATCGATGTACTTACAGGATCTGGGCGACTGGGCAACCGGTCTAGTGTGTTTTTTGTGGACGTCGCTGGTTTTATCGTCGTCAATGATCATCGTCGTCGCTGCTGTACGTCGACGAGAGGAGAGACAGGCCATCTAGCGACAGGCAAGGGCGCTAACCCTTTGTTGGCAAACAATCGCCATTATCGTCTCTTAGTATTTTTAGGCATGAAATCTAAACAGAAATAAAATGTGAAATGGACGGACAGTGCACCTTGAGAACAAGCCGGTAGAGAATCGCCAAACTTCTATTTTTTCCCTCTATTCATGCCCCGTCAGGACAGGAAAAGATCTCTAGAAGGGGCCCTCTGGTTGCGCTTCGTATATAGTACTTGTCAGTGTCTCCGATATTTCTGCTGTCCATCTTCTGGGTGATCGACCTTTGGCTCTGTTACCGTTGTATTTGTATAACATTGCATCTTATGGTGCCCTGTCTGTTGCAAATCTTGTTACAAGGCCAAACTAATTTATCTGTTGCCGACCGATAAAGTTTAATATTGGTTCTGTACCGACTCTCCTCATGATTTCGTTCCGAACTCGATCTTTCCTTGTTAGACAGCATAATAAGTAAACATTTCATTTCTTTCGTGACTATTTTTATGGGATTTTACTGCAAGCATTAAATAAACCACTGTCGGGTTGCAACCAGTCTGGAGAGACGAAATATGAATTCCAAATAAAACCATTAACTAATTCTGCGAATCTCTGCGTTTATGTGTGTGTGTGTGAGTGTTGCGTATGTCTATGTGTGTGTCTGTGAGTTTCCCTATCTGCATGTGTGTATGTGTTTGTGTGTGTGTGCCTGTGACTGCATGTCTGTGTGTGTGTTTGTTTATGTCTGTGTGCGACGGTGTGTGTGTTTGTATGGGTCTTTTTTGCAGCTAAGTGTGTGTATATATGTGTGTGTGTCTGTGTGGGTTTACGTTTGTGTGCATCGGTGTGTGTGTTTGTATGGGTCTTTTTGTGCGGCTACGCGTGTGTATGTATGTGTTTGTGTGTATATCTGTTTGTGTCTGGGTTGTATGCGTGTGTGTTCTAGAGCGTGTGACTGTGTGTATGAGTGTGTGTGTCTATATATGTATATATATATGTGTATGTATATATGTGTGTGTGTATGTATGTGTGTGTGTGCGTGTTCGTATGTATGTGGATGTATGTGAGTATTGGGTGCCGATGTGTGTTATTGAGTGAATGGGTTTGCGTGTGTATGTGGGTGTGTGTGTTCGAACGCGAGCGTGCGCACACATTTTACCACCCATGCTTTTGTTTTTGACTTGCTATTCATAATATGCATATTATTACATTAACATAACATGATTTATTGATGAGATACAACTGCTGTGTGAAAGATGGGAGTTTGGAAGGGACGAATGTAAGACAGTCCTGCGTGCCTAATTTGTAACCCTTTGAAAATAAAGTTCGTTCGTTCGTTCGTTCTGCTAATTACTCCTGACAGTGAAAAAATCCAAGAGACCTGCGTGGCAAGGTCAAGCAATTTATTACTGGAACTTAAGTCCGTATATAAAGGATAAGAAATGTCCATTTGATCATATTATAACTAGTTTCGTCCTTTTTAGGACGAAATTTTTTGCCATTTGAAGCCCTACTCTGGCTTTTGCCAGGGGCCGCAATATAGGCAGGCCATACATATGGCCAAATGTCTGAACGCGGTTTCTGGGACCTCTCCACGGCGATCCGCATGGTGGCACTTTGTGTCATCGGGTGTTTATCGCTTGTGTGATGTCCTGGTGGGGTAGAAAGTCAGTCAGTCAGTCCATGCAGACGTTTCTTCACAAAATAACATGGGCAAGGATAATATACTAAGAGTATAATAAATCCTCTATTTTAATCACACAGTATTAGTAAGATTATAACATAACCCTTGACCCGTTAGGGCCGTGGAGGTGTATTGAATAAAGCACATAAAAACCCTCCATCTTTCTCTGTATTCCGCTTGGTGAATAAATGTTTTTTTTTTTTTTTTTAATATCCAGAAACCATGAATTGTTTACCCTTTGGCTCAGTACTATGGATATCGCAACCCTTCGGCCTTGATTCCATGACAGGTACCGTAAATCTGGGAGGAAATGTGGCTTTCCTGCCTACCCCCCGGAGTGAACCCGGACCACAAGGAGTTCCTCACCCGGTCAACACGCAGTCCGGTTTAGCCAACTACTCTAGAGATCCGGTCGAAAAATGTATAACTTACTCCTGCCCATTTCTTGATGTTGTAATTTCAGGTTCTTCTTTGCCCTCCTCTTTTTTGACCATCCTTTCCATTGACACAGTGAGAGTCCAGCTCTGATATCCGTAGAAAAGAATATACAACAACCAAAATTTAAAAAAAAACGAAAATTGCCGTACTGGGAATAGAGCCTTTCACCAGCAAGAGACAACAACGCCTCTCTATAGTAACCAATGTATTTTTTTTTAACAATGTTATACAATTCACAGTCTCTACTCGTAACACTTTTTACAGTCAACACATAATTTTTAGAATATTAAATACCTAAGATTAATTGACGGGTATAAATGTCTAATATTTTAAGATTTAAAATAAAAACTCTTTTTCATCAACTTCCGGCAAAGTGCTTCACCTGCAAGCCTAGCAGCTTGTTCCTTTCCTTTCACACCTGCATTCAGTATGGGTGGGAGAGAAACTGAGTATTTATAGAAAACCTTTTATGTAATCTACCTGAATACCCTCGCCCGAAAATGATGCAAATAAGATGTGTCGGCCGTATCAGCCTCAGAGAATCCTTAGGGAAAGGTCTTCGGTCACAGCCCATCTTTATCTCCTTGATCATACTTATTTAGTCACCGTATGCCAGAGTTAAAGTCTGTGATTCCAGCCAAATTATTGCTTTAGTTACTGCCGTGACATCTTTAGTCAGACTAGTTGTAGTCAAGGCAAAAGCATCCAAATATCCATCCTTTGTTCTGTTGTAAAATCCTATGAAGATGATTACCGTGTACCCTACATTCTTTATGTACCTGATTATCCCTGGTGAGTCAGCGGTTACTTCCAACTGTTAATATTGTTTTGATTTCTCCTATAGGTCCCGACAAGACACAGAAGCAGCATACTGTTCGATCAATCAAGGTGCCGTCTCCACAATGAAGGTTGGCTGCAATGGATCTCCAGCAAGTTGTCTGTCGTCTTGATTGTACAATCTCCGAGACTGCTGTTCTCCCACCTACACATGTTATTTTTCAACATGTCTGCCTGCTTACAGATGCCATTTATACATTGAGACAGTTATCAGAGAGCGCAATAGAACACGATAAAACATGTTTGTTGACATTCGTAGACCAAGAAAAAGCCTTTGATAGAGTCGACTGGAATATGTTGTGGAAATGTGTGGGGGAAAGGGGAATCAGCAATCATCTCATTAATATTTGCAAAAGCCTGTACACACGTAGTAAATCCTGCATAAGATCAAAGGAAGGACTGTCAAGAACTTTTACAGTGAACTCTGGTGTGCGTCAGGGCTGTGTACTATCGCCACTTCTTTTTATAACATACATGGATACCATATGTAAAGAAACGAACTTTAATCACGTAGAAGATATTACATAATTACTATTCGCCGACGACCAGGTACTCATAGCAAAAAGTACAGAATGCCTACAGAACCACCTAAATCAAATTAGTAACAATGGGGAGGAATATAATATGAAAATAAACATTACGAAGACAGAGATAATGGTGATAGGAAGACAGAAAGACAATTTAGAAATACAATTGAAAAACAACACTTTAAGACAAACAGAGGAATTTAAGTATTTGGGAGCAATTTTCACATCCGACGGAAAACTGGACAGAGAAATTAGCTCTAGATGTGCCAAAGCTAATCAAGTAATGGGCAACTATCTTCCCTGTTGACACACAGGCAGATACCCCGGAGTACTATAATTAATATTATCAGAACTATTTTTTGGCCAACACTATGCTATCAGTGCCAAACGTGGACACTTAAATCCTCCAATCAACGTCAAATTGTGACAACAGAGATGAAACGCCCTAGAAGAGCTGCAGGAGTTTCAAGGAAAGGCAGAATACGAAATCACGAAATCAGACGAATGTTGGGAATAAAGCCAGTCTTACAGGTCATCAAAGAACAACAAATGAAGCGGTTTGGGCACCTAACAAGAATGCCCTGGTACTATCTGCCACATCGAGCCACACTAAAACGTCACAACGGGTATAGAGCGAGTGGAAGACCTCGGAAACTATGGAGTGATGGCATTAAGAATAGCCTTACAGAAATGAACATGTCTTAATAGTGCTCTTGAGAGAGCTCAAGAACATTACACTTCGATGAGGTACACGGTGGAAGAGAAGAAGAAGAAACAGAAAAAGTCTCTCTGTTTACTTTTTGCCTTCTGCTTTTTCATCCAGTATTGTTTTTATAAGAATGTTATGTCTGTTCATGTGACTGAATTATATCAGGTGTTGCATTTCATACCATTTCAGCGAATAATATATTGTACGCTGATAAAGGGGAATGTATTCTGATGTGTTCTCACCTGTCTGTACGGGCAGTGTTGTCGTTCCTTGGTTGTGAAAGTAGGTCATCACAGGTGGAAACAGGGAAAAGCAAAGTATAAACGAAGATGGCGGTTTTCAGTGTTTCATCGTTATTTATACTGGTGTTTCTCTTTCACTGTGGTAAGTATTCTATAAATTTGTATTTACCAATGATAGATGTATTTACTGACACGAATAAGATACATTTATGTGTGACATACTCAGTGAAACAGTTGATTGTGAATCATGCCTGTTTCCTAGGGCCAAGCGTTCGAGAGCCGAGTCAGTTCAGGCACTTCCGTGTTGTTAAATTGAACCTCAGATCGTCGAACTTTATATTATATTATTGTGTTGTTGATGATATACAGCGAAGATTATGGCAGAGGCTGATATTTTCTTAAAATGAAATTCGATGTAGAGCTTTGTTCCAAGTCACATAGTCACCACATGAGCCCCGGGTCCTAGATACAAAATAAGTTGATAAATAAAATCAAAACTTACTAAAGGAGGCAGGTGTAAAGTAGTAAAGACTAACCACTAACTTTCTTTCCTCCTGAGTCGCTGCTAAAGTATGAACTCCGTGATGATTGTGATCATTGTGCTGCAGAGCTTTCGTTCCTGCTGTCCAAATACACGAGGAAGCGAGGCAGTGATTTCATCCACAGTACAGGGTGATGGTGAATATATGACGTCTGCACAATGGCAATATTCAGTATCACTATCAGTATTACATTATAAATAAATTATAACAGTTTTATTAAAACCACCATAAGCAACCCCCTCCTCAAGATACAACAATGTCCAAAAATGACAGCCCAACAAAAAGTATCTCTTGTCTGGCATGAATTTTCAGGATACCTGTAATTACAGTCTACAGGAGACAGTCAACACCCTTTGGTCACATGGGAAAACTGGAGTGTGCTTATGTTATGACAAAAGAAAAGCTTAAGGGTAAGAAAGGCACAGAGAGAGAAGATGTTGGACAGTTTGGCATCATGGCATGGAGCATTGTCTGTGTTAGAAATGAGACGGACAGTTTGAGAGGCTAGAAATTATGCAGACAGTTCAAGAGGCAGAAGGCTGTGGAAAGACCTGACTACCAACACCATAAGGCATGGACTATAAGAAGGACACCATATCCATAACTAATATAGACCAGACTGGGTAATATTTCTTATTCTGTGTTTGCCCTTAACCCTTTTACTTGAAATGTGTCATGAACTCATGCAAATTTCCAGGGAAAAAAACTGTTAAAACAGTTTTTGCGCAGATCACAAAACTTTTTTTTTAAATTTATTAATCAACATTTTTCACCTCCCCCCCCCCCCCCCCCGATACATATATATATATAAAATGTAACCAGTAAACAGTCTGCATCTGTGGCTTGGGCATTGCGAACACACTTCATAGTGCCGGATTCGATCCCTGCTGCAGGCCTTGCGTTGGTTTCGACAGTGGTATCGAGAAGCCAACCGTTCAGAAGCAATGGCAAACTACTGGACATAAATTTGCCTATAAAAACCACAACAGCAAAAAAATGCTGGGAGTCGGTTCTGCAACATCCTGTAAAGGATAACCAGTAAATGTGAACAGAGTGAAAAATTAAATGAAATACATTCCCCAAGAGCCTTAAAAACCATTTTTTTTAAATGTCTGTGGGGTGACATGCCCTGACCAAATGACCTACGGAAATTTGATGTGGCTCTTACAAAGCCATTGGGGTCATAAGGAACACTTCTCTCACTAAATGCTATGTTTAGTTAATATATTCAGATCCTGGCCTTAATAACACTGCGTACACAGGTACACATAGAACTATTGGCATGTAACTGTGCTTTTCGAGAACAGGTCACTGCAGACCTGGCAATGTATTGACATTTATGGGACTGTGTCACAGCTAGAAGTGCGTAAATATAGCCTTCCTGGGCCGATAAGATTACAATGGTGGTTGGTTCTTTGTGATATGGTTTACAGCAAGGCCTAGGCTGCTCTTCATCCCAGTACATCTGATTTCAACAAACCCTTCATTCATTGCTTTTCAACATGCTTGTTAGGAGGGGCAATTGGTCTATTCCCCTCCCTCCTCCCCGAACCCACACGAGGAACTAAAGGAAACATCAATGAAGGAAAGAAAACAAAATAATAAAGTTTCCTTCTGTGGTGTATATTATGGTGGTATGTTATCTATTTCAGGGGCAGCAATAATGTGTCATCGCTGTATGAGCTCCATGGGTGGATGTGGTGATGATGTCGTATGGAGGATGTACCCTTGGAGAGACTGTGGTGACAGTTACTGTGTCAAGGTCATTGAGAAAGTTCCTGGTAAGACAACTAGTTAAAAATATCCTCACAGTTTAGCCTGTCATTCCATACAAAGCAAACAGTTACACAGATTTTCTATTTATTTCAATTTGCTTGTCATTTTAAATTTTTCCAGAGAACAGTTTTTTGTTGTTTTTCTTTTAGGTGTCATAGGAGTGCTAACTGTTCTATTTCCCTATGGCTCAAGTAAAGAATTGCCAGGTTTTTCCATTCTGTTCTTTAGTCCTATTCTGTCTTTCTTCTTCTTTTATAGGCTGTAAACTCCAGCAGAAGGTTCTGGTTGTTCGTCCATCTCTGAACATTAGTCTTGTTCTAGAACTTGAGTGTTCAGTGTGCATCCATTTTACAGATCTGACTTTTTTGTATGCAGAATTTTGGTTCCTTACCTTTCAGGAAGATACACTCAGACTTCAAAGAAGGCCCACAATTAGTCGACTGTTACGACATGCTTGTTGGGGTGGGTCTGTCTTGTTTTCTCCACAATGGGTCTTAAAACCCACTCAGGAAGTTCTGCCTTTTAGCATTGTTTTGAAGAGACATCTAGTGCTAGTCTTTGTATGTGCTATATAGATGCTAGTATTCACAGCCTTAGATATTCCATGCATCCATCTCTTGCATGGGTTCCCTCTTCCATTTTGTCATTATGATAATCCTGACCTATATCTAAACCATTTGATCTGTTGTCTCTTGTTGTAGTTTAGCACTGGGTCTGTACTAACTTGTTTTCTGGTATTTTCATTTCTAATTCTCTCTCTTTCTTTTACAGTTAAGATTCCTCACATATGTTGCATTTGTGTCCTTTACATTTTGCATTTATATTTTGTTAATGTTCTTTTTTTTTGGGCACTGATAACAAGGTTAGTAATCAATGCTTCTTCCCCTGAAATAGATTATCTGTATCTGCAGTGCTGTCTATGAACTTCACTGTCTTTTGTAATTCACTCAGGGACCTGTTAAAGTAAACAATACTGTATTGAATTGTGCTCTATTTTGTCAGTTGTATAATGTTTTTTTCTTCTATGGTGAAAGCTTTCCAGTGATTTGATTTGTTCTGTTTTATCCCTATTCTATCTCTGCTTCAGTTTTTCCATTGGATAATGATATGCTCCCTAAATACTTGATGTCATTTGCTTGCTTTCTATAAATATGGTTTATTTGTTCTGCTCTTGCAGTGGCCACAACTTCTTGGGGTTTTTCAATGTTAATTTTCATTTTTTAATGCTTTTGCTGCAATGTTTAGATTATCTATTTTCTGTCCCATTGTAGTGCCTGCTATGTGATTCTCTGTGCATTTCTCCTCATGATGTGGCCGGTGTGTTTCCAACATTTCTTTTAACTGATGATATGTGCGGTGTTCGAAACATCTCTCTTATTTCTTTGCCCTTTTTTTTAAAATCTCATTTTAAATGTTCATTTGTTTCCTTAGGCATTTGTTTTGATTGCATTTAAGAGATATACTTCTCATCAGATGACCATTGATTGTGTTGTACACAAATGTTTTACTTTCTTTTCAGGCGAGGAACCAAGGTATACTCGTGAGTGTGAAAACAATTTGTTGAAAAATACCCGCCATCGACTTCGCATGCCAGTTCTTCGCCGTCATGGTTACTGCGTCCCTGCCCGTAAGAATGACCCCTACAACCCTTTAGATTCTGTGGATTCGAGATTCATATACTGCTTCTGCAACGATTGGAATGGCTGTAATACATCAACAAACATCCGTATGTCATGGACACTTGTAGCAGGGATGGGAAGTTTGGTACTTATGCTGATTTCCCGCTATTTGTGAAGTGAGCATGTTGTGTATGTGTGTGCCCATGGGTGTGTATTTAAAGGGTAGGAAATGGGATAGGGCAAAGCACTGAAATTTGTGTCTCTGGAGATGTGAATATACAGAAGAATAGGTTTTATTTGTGGTTATATTTCATGAAGCAAACAATTGAAAATGAAAAGCCTAATGCAGGGCTATTTAAGTTTAATCAGGGACTAAAATTGAAACATGTGGATCATCTCGGACAAGAGACCCGAACCCCAGCCTAGACAAATCATGAATACATTAGAGTTGGTAGTGATCCCCCGACCACTAGGTCTCCAGATTTGGCCCACGTCCGACCGGGTGTGGAACTCCTTCTGGTCCGGGATTATGGGGTGGACAGAAAAGCCACATTTCTCTATCATGGAATCAAAGCCGAAGGGTTGCTATATTTATAGTAGTATTTTTATATAATGACATGGGTCTGAGTTTATGTGGGTGAACTAAAACTTAATTCAGTTTCAGATCCCACATTTACTGGTTAATTTTAGGATATCAGTTATAAATATCTAATACATACACATATATTTAAAGAAAAAAAAAAAACTACACTATCTACCATCATCATGAGGCTAATAGACTGCATAGTTAGGGTATATATAGAGAGGATGGCACATAAGAGAGAGACAGAAACTGTACACAAGTTAATTCACAGGGAATAGACCATGGGGCAGATCAAGAAGGTTGTGGACAGATAATGTCAAGACACCTACAAATGCTTGAAGTCAACAATTACAGAGATGCATGCAGTGTGATATCTGCTGTAATGGACCTCAAGGACTCGCTTGGCTAAAGAAGAAGGAAGAATATTCCCCATATTCAGAGTCTAAGGTAGTGGCTCTCAAATTTCCGAATGCGGCAACCCTTTAATACGGATTCTCATGTTGCGGCAACCCTTTAATGCGGATTCTCATGTTGCGGCAACCCTTTAATACGGATTCTCATGTTGTGGCGAAACCCAACCAAACAATTATTTTTGTTGCTACTTCGTAACTTCAGTAAATATGTGTTTTCTAAGTGTCTTTGGTGAGCCCTGTGAGACGGTTGCTTGACCCACAAAAGGATTGTGTCCCGCAGGTTGTCTAAGGGATGACTGTATATTTTAGAGCATGAAACATATTTGGAAAAAAAATGTGTTTTTTAAAAGTTTATAGTTGACTATATTCAGGTTTCTTTCACAAGAATACACTTTTAACAAAATTTATGTACGTATTTTACGAAATTGTGGGAAAGCTACCTAATTTGTACACTTTGCCTATGTATGTGTGTTCTTTTTTCATTTCAAAGTATACTTACATATACAAATAATACTTTTGACATATCTGACGCAGGTAACCTGGGCCATTGATAAATGCTGCTGATTTTAATGTGAAATAATTTGTTGGCAGATCAAACAATTTATAATTTGTGATGAGAAGAATGTTTTCATCTATGTCCAGGGTGTGTTTGAAAGGATGTAATCACTTGCTCACTCAAAGAATTTATGACTGATAAATCCGTCGTTTTGTTTCTATATTAATGTTTGCAAAATTGTAATACTTTTCATTGTGAATGTCTTTTTTCCTTTTTTTGTACTTTGCTGCATCATTTCTCCCCATTGTTAGCACCAAATACCTCATGAAATAATGTCAATTAAAAATACTGATGTGAGACTTAATTTAGAACTGTAGTATCTGATCACAGATTTTGAGTTAAAACTGGGCTTTAGATGTTTTTTTACATTATGTTCTCAAATGATTCACCTTAACCATCACATTCTCTTGCTATGTCGTGTACCATTAACCCTACCAGACCTGAGACCCTGAACCTAACTGTCCCCTATACCTGAGTTCCTGGGCATTAACGCGAAAAAACCAACATGATATACAAAAGTATTCGTTACATGCAAACAAGTGGCTAGAATAAGATGAAACTTGTAGACATTGTAGGAAATAGGCTTATCTTATATCTAGCGCCAATCTTCCACCTTTGTGTGCCAATGCCAATCCACTGAGGAGAATTAAGATTGTTTCACAAAGTGAAACGCCCCCTTATCTCTTTCTACCGATTTATAATTTTCAAGATTCTCCTCATTATTCGAGCTGAATGTGTCACTTCAACTGTGAACGTATTCTTCATGAAATTATGACTACGCAGAGTCTGAAAAAGCAAAGTATCGATCACATGTTGGACTGTGAAAAGCCTAGACCTACTTTACTTTCCTGTCGAAGTGCTTGGTTCATCAGCCGCTCATTTTATTGTGAATTTTCAGAATTTGTTCACGTAAAACAACAAATTTTATCCAAACATACAAGGGCGGACATCTATGAAGACTATCCACGAGGTCTGATTATGTTTGGCTAGTTATTTTTAGTCTGTGATGCATCTTTTTCACGCAATACGCAAATAGGCGAAAATTAGGGCCAGCGGTATAGCGTCAGTTTAACAAATTCCAGAAAAATCAAGCCAGTGGTCTGGTAGGGTTAATAGGTTTCTTTTACATCACTGTTGAATTAAAACTGAGTTTTTACAGACGGGACAAATATTAGAAACAGGGATGACCGATGCTTTCTTCCCTGACCATCACATTCTGTTGCTAAGCCTTGTACCATTAATTATCATCATAAACCAATTCTGCTGTTGAGCCTAATGGGGAGGAATGATTTGGGATCCACGGCATGCTGGCTGGCACTGGCTATTGTGTAGGTGTAAAGTATTTAATTTTGTCGACCTATATGTTTTTGTTAATTGGTACTTTTTGCAGAACTCTTGAACTAAAAAACAAACATTTAAGTTTCAAGGAGACACATAAAACATGGAAATGACTCTTAGAAACAAAGGTGAAGAAAATATGAAACATTTTAACAATGAATGATGTAACCCAGTCTTTCCTATTTGGAGGTCAGCCATTCCCCACAAGTCCATGAAACAAGATTAATATGAGGTTTGCAACATCATTTACATAAAATCCTTAACTTCAGAATGCAATCCTTTTTTTTTTTTTCGATTTTTAATATTTATAAATTATAAGTTTTTCTTTTTGACTTTAAATATACAAGGTCTTTGGCAGACCTCTGAAAACTGTTCCGCAGATCTGAGCAACCTGCGAATCACCGTTGTAACCAAAAGCATCAGAAATTACAGTTCAAAAGAGATTTTTTTCCCTCTGAATTTGAAAAATCCCCAATATATTGTCTGCAGTGAATATACCACAGCAACCACATATTTAAACAGAAAATAAAGAGATTGAAAACATCACAAATTTTTTTATATTTGGGCTCAGCAGTAACAATGGCAACTGCACAATAGAAATCTAAGGCTCAGTGGGTTAAAGTAACAATTTTTTGTTAGATCATTCATCTTTTCTGTGGTAACTTATAGTTGTGAGAAATGGACTTCTACTCCTTTTAGGAAAACAAAAAGGGAGCCCTTGAACTGAAATGCTACTACAAATTCTTAGAATACTATGAATCAAGAAGAAAAACCTTGACGTCTCACACAATTTGAACATTGAGGTGGACTGGCTCATAAACAGCATCCTTCCCTAAAGTTCACATATTTTGGCAATGCTAAACGTCACGGTGGCCCGGAGATAACAGAATGAAATGGAACCTTTGTGCCAGCATCAAGGTTTCCGACCAAGAAAAAATTGAAGGAGTCACGGACAACTTGAGACTTCATAACATCACGGCATAGAACCGACCTGGCCCGATCATTGATAGTGCGATAAAGCAGATTTTTGACAAAGAGAAGAAGACGTTGAAGACGTATTGGTTATGAAAGCACACAGAGCTGGAGAATTGGCTAGACAAAGACAGACTTTCAGGCGCACAGTGAAGAGGGAGACGTTCTATAAAAGGCCGGATATTGAATTAAAAATAGATCAGCATCACAGCACTGGGAAACCCCCCCCCCCCCCCCCCCATAAGCGCTCCATCCTAATCTTTAGAAGCAAACAAAGAGTTCCAATTCCGATGGCACCAGTGTTTGTATATTTTCGTCTGGCTCCTCCCCTGAGTGTTCAGCGTCAGCCAGATTCCCTGGTAACCCCTTCGCAGCACCATTCTCCTCAGACCGTAATGATCTATTTGCGCGGTTTGGATGTTGTAATCAGTCTTGCTCCCAGTGCCTTCACAGCATACATTCAGTTATTTGTGATTTCTTGTTATCTGTTATACATGACCTTGATTGCCACACTGTTATTATTCTGTGGGTACAAGACTTCCAGCAGCTGCCCCTGACATTCCATCAATGTTTATACAGTAAACCTTTCATAATGTGTTGTATTACATAATTGTATGTGTCAAACTGGATTCCAGAAGAGTTTTGTTAGTACCCAGGAGGGAAGAGCTACATTCCTGAAAAATCACAAGTCTGCGAATGTCAACAATTTGTAGTGATACCTCAGTTAACGAATTTCTCTATTAACAAGGATTTGTTTTGCTGTTGTTCAGCCTTGTCTAGTGGATTTTCTATGGTCATGTGCAGCAATTATATCTTTATTAGCTGGGGTATCGCTGTACATACACAGTGAAAGTAACCACTGAATGAGCCAGATTTATTTAGCATGTTCTGACCAAATATCAGAAAGAACGGTGATGGAGGTATGTGTCCGGAAAATGAGGCAGAGGCCGACCTCCACGAATGTGGATACAGGACACTGAAGATGCATTGTCTGTGAAAGCACACAGGGCTGGAGAACTGACTAGAGAAAGACGCTTACAGGGAAGAGGGTGACGTTCTGTAAAGAACTCGCTGATTGATAAAAGAGAACACACTACTCACTGGCTGGAATTCCTGGAGAGGTGGCAGCCATACTGGCTCCTTGCTTGTATTATTTAGTATGTTTATGTGTGCATGTTTGTCTGTCTATTGCAATTATATATCAGAAAATCAGTTGAAATAATTGTTTTGGTCCAGTGATGAATGCATTGTTTATTATTCTAATGAATGTACATATTTGTTCTTGCTGCAGACATAAAATATATTTTGAGATG